TCAGTGGATTGTTTTATTTGGACTGAGAATTTAGCGGATATGCCAAAAAGAGCGTCGTTGAGAAATACTACGCTCGGTTTTCACGTCGTAACAACGCCCCCATTATCAAGGTGAAAATATTTTAAAAATCTAGGTGCAGCTGGAGAAAGGGTAATCTTTGTCTTAGCAATAAATCCCCGGTTTCCACTTTGATCGTTGCTCCGTTGCAAAGTTTGGCCTGGGGAGATAAAGTTAAGAGCAGAACTCATTTCCCAGGGTCCGATTTAGGGTCCTGGGAGAGGACAGGGCCGGGCACCTGGGGAGGCCTCTGGGCATGGAGGTCAGGCCTACCTGCCACCTGCCAGGCAGATCCCAGGTATAAGAAACAGCAGCTGCTTTAAAGAGTGTTCCTGCTGCTCCTCCCGGCCTGTGCACCAGAAACGAAACGTTAGACCTGCTGCATCAAAAGAAAAGAAAAAAAAAAAAAAAAAGCCTGTGCCCCTCTGGGACGCTCGCTCACTCGCCCCCGCTCCCTCTCCCGCCCAGCGCCGCCGAATTCCCATTCAGCAGCACGGAGCTGCGCAGAGGAGCTGCGCAGTCGCCCGGCTTGAATTAGGCGCCATCGCGCTCGGTAGTAGCCCTGCTGCTCCCTGATTGGCAGCTCCCTGGCCCGGCGCCAGCCTATTGGGAGGCCTGTTTACGCCGAATGAGTGGCACGAGCTCCCGGCCGTGCGGGGCCGCGCGGCCAATCAGCGCGCGGGCTGCTCGGGGCTGAGTGGCACGAGCTTATTAGTATGCAGGGCCCGTGGCTCGCCGCGCCAGGCTGCAGGTTTGAGAGCCGCTCCGGATGGGCTCGCTAGAGTCGTTGTTGTGGAAGCGGTGCATTTACAGTGCAACAGTCAGCACATTGAAAATACCAATAGGAATACAAAACAAAGTCACATTTACTGATTTAATTGTATTGCATTCAGTTGTATCCAGGAAACAGCCTCCAGTAAGTAACTGAAATTGCTTTCATTTTTTTTTTGTTTTTGTATTTTTATTATTATTTTATTTTTTTTACTTTGGCTTTGGGGATTTACATTTTTTTTTTTTAGCAAAAGAAATTCAGGGTTGTGATGTTAAGAACTATATATCTTCCCTTTTAACAAAATCCGTTATGATGTGGAGAAGGCTTTAAAAAAAAAAAGATGGACTATAGATGAACGATTTTTTTCTCCGAAAAAAATCTTATCGATCGGTTTAAAATTCCCCCTATAATGCGTCCTTGCTTTGCTCTGAGCGCTGTTGTCTCGATCGACACCCAGCATTAAGAATAAACACTCGAGACACGCAGGGGCCCGCTAGGCTGCGTCGGCGCGAGCGCGCGGGTGGCACCGGGCGGGCCATCGCGGGTCCGGCGCCGCCAGCGTGCGCCCGGCTCTGGCTGGCGGAACCGCGAACGAGCCCGGTTATTTGCTGGCCTGCCCTGCTGCCCTCCGCCGAGCGGTCCCGGGTCGGCCCCTCCGGGTCGCTCCGCCGCACTGGGCACCGGCCGGCTCCACTGGGCCGTGGCCGCTGCCCGGAGGGGTTTTCCGGGCCGGAGTGAGGGCGGGGGAGGGGAGGAGTAGCGGCGAGTTTTTCGGGTTTTGCTTCTTAGAGCTTAATTCATTTCTGAAATATTTTTTCCATGGGACTTGGGGTGGAGAAAGGGGGCCGAGGAGCGAGGCCTGCGCGGCGGGGCGTTTTCAGGGCGCGCGGGGCTGGGGCCACAGCCTGGGTGGCGGGGTCCGCAGGAGGGTGCGCCCTTGGGTACGGGAACGTGGCGCGACCGCAGCTCTGATTACCCTCCGGGGGGCGGACGGTTGCAGCCATTTCGCAGGGAGCGGGTTCTGCGGCGGCGCCCGGACCCACCCGCGCCCGGTGCGCCTGCCGGTCCGACTTGCAGGCCCCGCGGTGCCCGGAGACGGCGCCAGAGCGAGGAGGACGGGCCGGGGTCGTGGTCCCCAGCTGGCGGACGAGGCGACAAACGGGTTTTGGGGTGCAAAAGTAGAAAACAAAGCAAACCTGAGGAAGCCCTTGATCCTGGAGCGCGCGAGCCACACCTCGAGCCGCGGGCAGAAGGGCTCGGCGGCTCCGGGGATCGCGCCCCGTCACCCCGGCAAGACGCCGGTGTTCGGCGGCTCAGTTCCTTCCGAAATGCGCTCGTCGGCGATTCTCCTGCCGCAGCGGGGCCCTGTGCTCGCCGCCACTTTCGCTTCGCTTCCTCCGCAGAGCGTTCCTGTCGGGGCTGCGGCGCGGTCCCCGCGGACCTCGGCTGCGGCCCCTCCCGGACCCGGCGGAGTGGGGCCGGCCTGGGGCATCTGGGCGCCGGCCCCGGCCGCGGCGGCCGCTCGCTCGAGCCCCGCTTGCCGGCTGGCTCTGCTTGCCAGGCCGCGGGAGCCGGGCGCTGGCGCGGAGTCGCGCGGCCTCTCCCCCGGAGGAGAGAACACAAAGGAAAGGCCCCCCTCCAATCCCGTAAGCCTCGCAGGGGCGCAGACGGCGACAGTAATCCACCCCCTGTTTGCTTAAAAAGTCGAGCGGGCTGGTGAGAAAGGAACAATCGAGCCTGCGATCCGCCCGCAGGGGTGGAAGATTAAAACTGCTGCTTCGTACCCGAGCCCGCGTCCCGAGAACCGCGAGCAGCTCCCGCTCTCTCGACAACTTTGAAATTTCTTATTGGGGGAAAAAAAAAAATCCACAAAACAAAAGCACGGCGCACACGACTCCCCGGAGGCCGCCGGGAAGCCTCGCACCCCCGCGCGCGCAGCCCCGGCCCCTCTCCGGGCCCCGGCGCCTTTGAAGCCGCGGGTTCCTGACCTCCCTCCCCTTCCTTTCCCTTTGTCCCGCGGGCGCCCTCCGGGGCTTGAGCGGCGCCGGCCGGGGCTGAGGCCCGCCAGCCCCCGGTGCGGCCCTGGCAGCGCCCCCCTGACCCCGGCTCGAGCAGCCGCTCGCCGCGCGCTCCCGGGGCCCGGAGGCCTGGCGCTGGCTTTGCAGGCCCGAGCTGCGGCGGCGAGCCGAGCTGTTTGTTAGACCGGGGAAGAGCGTTGGCTATCCCCAGAGACGAGGGAGCCCCAAACCCCTTTGTATGCAGTTGAGAGACAAAGAGAACTCTTTGTGTAGTTTATTTACAATGCAAAAGCTCTCCGAATAAATATTAAAAAAGGTTATCAGCTGAGCAAATATGTATTCACTTAATACATTATGTTTTCGGTTATAGATTAAATCAGACACAAAATAATCTGCAAATAAGACATTGTGGAACCCGGAGCATAAAATATAGCAGTTTAAAGTGGTATTCACGAAATGGAAAACATCTTAATCGCTTTGTTTGCCACAGTGGGACGGCTGGGAAGAAAAAAAAAAAAAAACACTAGGTTTTCTGCGAAGTTCATAATTAAGAATATTGAGCCTGTCCATCTCGCTTTGGTTGGAGGTGCTATCAAACATTAAAACAATACGTATTTAGGAAATGAAGAGCAATTTGCGAAGTGAAGAAGGGGAGAGAGCCTTGGAGGGACGGGCGCGCAGGTACTCGGTGGTGCAGTTTATATCGCCTGCTCCGACGCTCGGCACCCGAGTCTGAAATTGTCCCGAATTTTGTCTCCGAGTGGGCGCTCCGCGTTGGGTGGGGGTGGAAGAGAGGGCAGGTGAGCGTCATTTTTAGGTGGCCCTGCGGGAGGTGGGGGTGGATGGCGGTCTGGGGTCTGCCGGGACCAGGAGCGGGCAAGGCTGTGCTGGGCCGGGCCCACCCTCCCCGACTGGGGAGCTGGGCGCCACAAACCCCGCATCCCCAGCGGCCCAGCCGCGGGGACACCGGCCTCGGCTTGGTGATCCCGGGCGGGCGCTGCAGGGAGAAATCCCGTGGCCAGTGTGGGACGTTGAGGAAGAACAACATTCTGACTCTCAAAGCTCCCCCCCCCCAGCCCCCAATCCGCAGAGGAAGATCCTGGGCGAATTTGATTGGGGGGCGGGGTGATTGTTACAGCCTCGCCAGGAAGCTCCGGCTCCGGGACAGCAGGCCGGTCACTGCGGCTTGGTGGCCCAGGTGATGCCGGCGGTCGCGGGGCGCCCGGGGCTCCAGGGAGGCGGCTCGGGGTCCTGGCGCGGTGCTGGGGAGGCGGGGGCTGGTCCCATTGCGGCTGGGGGGCGGCGGATTCAGAAGAATGGACCGAAAGACGCATGGGGGGGGGATGGGAGAGAAAAGAAAGGAAGGTTATAAAAAAAAAAACTCTTGAGTTACAATCAATAAAATTACTCGCTTAATTAGCGTGGTTATTCGGTTAAGCGGAATGCAGTAAAAGCCGGACCTTGGAATGACGGGGGGAGAGGAGAAAGCGAGCGAGGACCCCAGGCCTTTTCCTTCGAGACACCTTTGGGCAGCGGGGGAGGGGAGAGGGTGTGCGTGTGAGTGTGTGTGTGTGTGTGTGTGAGTGTGCGTGATGGCTTCGCAGATTTGGGTTTTTATCACCCAGCCGAGCCAGCAGCTTCTTCGCTGCGGCGTCTTCGCTGCAGGGACCCGCGGGGACAAGAAGGGGAAGCAGCGGGCGGTGTGGCCGGCTTCCCTCAGCTCCCCGGGGCCAGACGCGGCCCGGACGGTGCGTGAGCGCGCGGGGTCCCCGGTGCGGGGCAGCCCGAGTGGCCCGGCGCGCGCGCGTGTGCAGCGAGATGCGCTGAGCTGAGCGCTCCGGGCCCTGCTTCCTGGCCGCGGCTCCGGCTGGCGCGCGGAGGAGCGGGCGGGGCGGGGACCCCCGGGCGAGCCGAGCCCCCAGTCACCTAGTCTCCTCTGCTTGCCTCCGCAGACCATGGACCCCCACGGCGGCCGCCCGCTCGGTGCGCGGCCGCCCGCCGAGAAGCCCAGCCCGCCGGCGTGCTGACCGCCCCGCCACCGCCGCTGGTGACCCCAGACGCCGCCTCCTCCGCGCCGCCCGCGCGCCGAGCCGCCCCCGGGCCCCGGCCGCTGCTCCGGGGAGGCGGCGGCGGACCGGGGCCGGGGCCCCGGCATGGATGGCCGCGACTTCGCGCCGCCGCCGCATCTGCTGTCGGAGCGCGGGAGCCTGGGCCACCGCAGCGCCGCCGCCGCCGCGCGCCTCGCTCCGGCCGGGCCCGCTGCGCAGCCGCCCGCGCACTTCCAGCCGGGAAAGTACTTCCCGTCGCCGCTGCCCATGGCTTCGCACACAGGTCAGTGCCCGGCCGGGGCGGGCGCGGGGGCACGTTCGAGGGTCGAGGGGGGCGCCCGCCCTGCGCTCCGGGAGCCGCGCGCAGAGAAGCTTCGCTTTCACTTCCCTCCTCGGCGCCGGCGGCGCACTGGGCCCCGGCGGGCCGCGCGTCCTGCCCGCCCCGCAGCCGGATCCCGCGGTTTCCAGCGGCCTTTCCCGGTCCCCTCAGGGGGTCTCGGAGGGGCCGCTCCCGAGCCGGCTGAAATTAAAGCCTTTCCTCTGCTGGCCACCCTCCCCCACCCCTTCCTGCCGAAGATCTAAATTCCGTGGAAACCTCTTTTTGCATTCTGCATTCACCTCCTTAAGGCGTCCCGGGCAACGAGGCGCTTTCTGCGGGAACAAAACGGCTGTGGCAGCGGGGGAGGGGGCCGGGGCACCGGGGCCTGGCGGATTAGGGCGGTGTGCGCGCGGGGCGAGCGTTAATAGGGACTGCTGGTGTAAGACGAGCAAATCCTGTTTCTATATAAAGCCTTGAAGTGTCAGGGCGAGAATGGGTTTGCAGGGGATGCATTTGCTTTAACAAGTGCCTCTGGTATCCTGCTAAAGCCGGACAAAGCGTGGCCAGAGTGCGCCGGCCTCGCAGCGGGCCGGGAGCGCAGCGCCTGGGCACCGGCGGGCAGGGCTGGCGCCGGGCGCGCTCGAGATTTCGGTGCAGGCGAGTGTGCCGCGGGTTTGCCCCGAGGACGGCGCGGCGCCTTGGGGTGGCCTCGGCTGGGAGGCAGGGTTCCAGTCCTCTTGGGAAAGACCCCCAGAGGGTCTTCCCTGGCAGAAAGGACTCTGGCCTCAGAGCAGTCCTCCACGGTGGTTTTGATATTAACGGTGAGGGAGGTCAGGGAAGGGGCAGCCACCGTGCCGGGCCGACACTGGAGGTCACTGGGCGGTGCGGGCGGAGTTTGCGGGCAGAGCGTGGGGCAGAGTGTAGGGCCCGCTGGGTCACCCCCCGCACGTTGGCTTGCTTTTGTTTACAGTTTGTTCTAAACATCAGAAATGTTTGCCGATTTTTTTAAAAAAAAAATTGGCAGTAACAGTTATTATTGCTAGCTTGATGAACTGTGAATACTAATAAAATTTTATCTGCTTTAATGGGATTACAATTAGTGTGTGGATTAAAACGGATGTCACAGACGGCTAGAAGGGGAAACGTCGGAGCAAGGGAGGGCAGTCGAAAAGAAAAACGTAAATTTCCTAGAAAAAAAACAAACTCAAAATTGCTAATTACAAACGGGCTCTCAGCAGTTGCAGGGGGAGGAGATTCAAACCCGGCTTAGCCCGGAGCGGAGGGGCTGGCTCCGCTGGCCGCCCAGTCTGCCCCAGTGGCCGCAACCACGCGGCAGCCTCCACGGGCTGGCCTCTTCTCCTGTGCTTCCTCCTTCCTCCTTTCTTTTTCCTACTCTACGTTTGTAACTGGAAAGAGAAAGAGAAAAAGTACATGTCTGAGCAATTGGTGATTTAAAAATATCTCTCCCTGCTGTCCCTGTGGTTATTAAGTGTCTCTTCTGCCCCTGCATGGGAATGTGGAGCCTCTGCCCACCCCGCTCAGGCACCCTGGGGAGCTGAGGTTGCAGGGGCAGTTCCCTCGGCTTCCCTACAACCCTTTCTTGGGCTGCAGGTGGGTGGCTCTTGCCAGGGGAGGGGAGGCTGAGCCTGCAGGTTGGGGGGTGGGGAGGAGCATCTGCAACCCCCCAACATGCTGGACCCTCTAGCCTGGCCAGCAGTAGCAGCACACAGACGGCCCCTGAGACCGGCCGTAGCATTAACGGTTGTGCACAGGCAGGCCGTGGCCATCCCCTGGGAGGCCAGGCCGGATTCCCCATCAGTTCAGGTCACTGCTGCCTCTCTGCCCCCAGGCACCCGCCCACAGCCTGGCCAGGTCTTGGTCAGCTGCCACCTGCCCTTTCTGTCCCGATTTCCAGATCTCGGTACTACCCAGGCAGGTGGGAATGTGGCCTGACGTGGTCGGCGTGGCACAAACCTTTGTCTGACTCTTTCTAAGTTTGACCACATGCTTCTTGGCGTGTAGGCCACAGAGGGTGTGAGCACTTGCTCTGGCCTGGTGTGTGTCCTGCCGCGGCTGTTGCTTGACCCCAGCCCCTGCTGGCCTCCCCAGCGCAGGGTGCTCTAGAGGGCGCTGGGACCCCTCAGGGCTCCCTTGTTTGGGGGCTGGAGGGCCACGTGTCCCCTGCTCCTGGAGGCCCAGTTTCCACCCTCCTGCGGACCAGAGACCTATTGTACTCGAGATGCTCAGCCCCTTTGCGATGGGAAGCTTGGCTGCCCGGGCGTCCAGCTAGAAGCAGCTGTAGCTGAAAGAAAGCGTTTTGAGATTGCTGAGATCCAAAATATTGTATTGGTTTTTAAAATTTAGTTGCACGTATTTCTTTAAAAAGGGAATTGCGCCCTGGATCACTTCGCTTTGGTCTGTGTCTACGTGTGATCTGGTTTAGAAAGAAAGAAGTGTAAATAAATAGTGTTTTTGTGTCCGCATGTGGATTTCCCAGTGGCCAGTTTGGTGGACTTTCTTCCCGTTTTACTGCTGGATGGCCTCGGTCTGCAGGCCACAGCTGCAGCAGCACAGCCGGCCACCTTCCCCCACCAGTTGTCCCGCTGGAAAGAAAATCGTTCCCGACAAAATTTCTGTTTGTCCAGCTCTTACACGGGAGTAGGAGCAACCGTAGGGATGAAGTCCTTGGGCTCTGAGGAGCCGCCTCCTCCCCGTGGGCCGTGCTCCCCGCCACTGCCTGGCCTGGCACAGCCCCAAGCTGGGCTGAGGGTGTCCTCCCTGGGCCTGTGCTGCCCTCCTGCGTCCCCACCCCCCACTTGCAAAATGTCAGCCTTAGGGACCCTAATGGGTGGGGACATTGGGCTCCAGGGCTTCTTCCATTGTTTTTCTAAAAATGAAAGTGCTGGTAGCATTCTAATCGGGCTGTAGGGTTTTTATGGTAAATTGCTGCTCCAGTAACCTTGTCACCAAAAGGTGCAATTAAAATGTTTGGAATCATTATTTTTAGTGCAGTGTTAGATTTTGTTTCTAATACAGATGGTCTGGAGGCAAAGCTGTGAAATCTAGGGGGGGGGGGAAAGGAAAATCAACAAGAACTAACCCAAGATTTTTCATCATTGCTACTGCCTGGAGCGATTGGGAATCTCTCCTCTCTGCGCGGTTAATCTGGAGGCAGCCCTGGCCGGGAGAAGCCCTCATGGAAGTGCCGCTCTGGCCCCTCCCTGCTTCCGCTGGGCCAGCGCCCTGTCCCCCCCAGGGGCCCCATTTCTACCGAGGTGCCGGTTCACATCTTGGTTTCAGTCATCTGCTCAGATTCCCCTCCCCGCCCCTTCTCTTGTCTTCCTTGGGTGTAAATTGCCCTGGCCTGGGGTTGTTGCAAAGGAAGGCAAGGTCCCTTCTGGTGGGAGAACGCAGATTTCTTTCCTGCCAAAAGTCTTCCTACCGGCAATCTCAAAAAAAAAAAAAAAAGAAAGAAAGAAAAAAAAAAAAGGAGGGCGGGAGAAAAAGAAGCAACACACCAAAAAACAAACAAAAAAGAACCCCACTCTGGAGAGAAAAAAGATAATTTCCTAGTGTGAAAAGACCCCATCAAAGCCTTCCCCTCCCTCATCATGTGATATTTTTTTGTAAAGAAAAAAAAAATACATTTTCGTAAATACCTCATTAACTCCCTGACACGATGGAGTGTTTCTGCAACAGTTACCAACATTAAGTAGGTGTGAAAAGAGTTACTTTCTGAAGACTACCCATCCCGCGCCACGGTGACAGAGCTAGACATCAAAGCTGCCGCGGGGAATCTGGCGGCCGGGTAGACCCGGCCTGGGCGGCTGTGCCCGCCACGCCTGCCCCACCGAAGCCGTTTTTGGAATGTGGGTTTCTTCTCAGCGGGGCCTGTGCTGCCACCCCGTCTGCTCATTCCTGTAGGGAGATGATGCCTTTTCTATAGGAACGTCCAGGTCACGTGAGTAATAAGGCAAATTAGTGAGCGGGGCCGGGAGTGGCGTTGTGGAAATAGCACGTCTCCCCTGGAAAACGCGAGCACCCCCAAACGCGTCCCGGTTATTCTTAGAAATCTCCCTCATCTCCCCCGTGAGACAGGGTTCAACAGCCGCACAGACAGGACAAAACGCATAGGAGGCTGTTAGAATAACATGGAGGAGGCTAAAAATACCCCTCAGAAACACACATAAAAAAGCCAAATCCAACAACAGAACGAGCTAAAAATATTCCAGGCTTTGGCAAGGAGCACAGAGTTAAATAAATTATACAAGAGCCATTCATGGGAGCAAGTTGACTTTCTCTCTTACGGGAACTTGGTTCAAGCTAATAAAAATAATAATTTACTAGCCACTGAGCTTTGCATGAGTTTAAATTTAATTGGTGGGGCTTCTGGCGTTTGTCACTTCTTGGCGATTAGTGGGCGGCTTGTGCTGGCGTGGGTGAGGTGGGGAGGGGTGCTCGGGCCGGGTCCCTGGCAGCAAGGACGTTGTCCCCCGAGGAGCAGGGCACGGGGGCAAGGGCAGGACGCCCGGGAGTCTGGAGAAGGAGGGGAGGTGGCTGGGGGTTTGTCCAGGAAGGCAGAAAAGGAACCAGCAAGGCACGGCTATTTTAATTTGATAAATGATCGTACACCTTTAAGAGTGTGTTTTAACAATCAAGATACACTCCAGCAAGTTGATAGGATGTTCGCTGTCAACTTACGTATGTCATCAGAGCGGGCTGTGAGCATAAATAATGTGCGCACGCTCTGGACGCTCTGCGGGCTCTCAGGGCCCAAGGCGTGGCCGGGGGCACCCCTGTCCCCGGTGGGCACCTCTCTCTCGGGGTCTGGGGCAGGGGCCGGAGGAGAACAGGAGTGGGGTCGCTGCGTGTTCCTTTCAACCTGGGTGCTTGGGTGGGTTCCCCGTCCCTGGGGAGTTCCCAGGTCTCCCCGCCCGAATGACAGCGCCGGGACCCCTTGATCC